TTTTCTGGCCATTTGAATTTCTTCTTTTGAGAAAGTTCTGTTTAGTTCACGTGCCCATTTCTTTATTGGTTCATTAGTTTTGGAAGAATTTAGTTTTTTAAGTTCCCTGTATATTCTGGTTATCAGTCCTTTGATGTATAGTTGGCAAATATTTTCTCCCACTCTGTGGGTGTTCTCTTCAGTTTAGAGACCATTTCTTTTGATGAACAGAAGCTTTTTAGTTTTATGAAGTCCCATTTATCTATGCTATCTCTTAGTTGCTGTGCTGCTGGGGTTTCATTGAGAAAGTTCTTACCTATACCTACTAACTCCAGAGTATTTCCTACTCTTTCTTGTATCAACTTAAGAGTTTGGGGTCTGATATTAAGATCCTTGATCCACTTTGAGTTAATCTTGGTATAGGGTGATATACATGGATCTAGTTTCAGTTTTTTGCAGACTGCTAACCAGTTTTCCCAGCAGTTTTTGTTGAAGAGGCTGCTATTTCTCCATCGTATATTTTTAGCTCCTTTGTCAAAGATAAGTTGCTTATAGTTGTGTGGCTTCATATCTGAATCCTCTATTCTGTTCCACTGGTCTTCATGTCTGTTTTTAGCATAATGTTTTAAACATTCACCTAAGTTGTAGTAATGGATCAGTACTCCTTTTCTGTTCATGGCTGAATAGTATTCCACCACACAATGGATCTGCCCCATTTGTTTAGTCATTCATCAGTTGATGAATGTTATACGTTTCCATGTTCTAGCTATTATAAATAATGGTTCTGTAAATATTCATACACACACTTTTGTTTGAGTACCTAGTTTCAATTCTCTTGGGTATATATCCAGGTATAGAACTGCTAGGTCATATAATACTACTTTTAACTTTTGGATGAAATGCCAACTTGCACCATTTTCCATTCTTTCCAGCAATGCGTGGCATTCTGACTACTTCATATCATGTCTAAGACTCATTTTCTATCCTAATAGTATTAAGTGTTATCTCATGGCTTTGATTTGCATTTCCTTAATGACTAGTGATTAAGTATGTTCTCAAGTGCCTTTTGGCTGTTTGTGTATCTCTTTAGAGGAATGGCTATTCAAGATCTTAGCCCATTTTAAAAATTGGGCTTTTTTTTTTGAGTTCTTTACATTCTATACTCTACATAACTTATCAGGTAAGTGATTTGCAAATATTTTCTCCCATTCTATGTACAGTCTTCTTACTTTCTTAATACTGTCCTTTCATATACAAAAATTGTCAATTTTCAAGTCTAATTTATCTTTTTGGTTTACTGTGCTGTGTCTGTTTTGATAAATGTTTGTGGGGCATTTTAAATGCATGAAAGTGAGTTTGGGCAAATTACTGATCCTTTTTGAGTTACAACTTCTTTCCAGGAGTCTCTCCTTCTCTTGGTGCTCATGGCACCAGTTTATGTCTATCCCCTCATGATTACCTAACCTACTTCCTGTGAATATAAAGGAGAAAGCAGACGTAAAGAACTTTGACAGATTCTATACACCCTGGCCTCTGCCTATACAATAAGTTCTTGGTAAATTGTGGCTTTTATTGTTATTTGTAAGATTTAAATGCTCTTGACTGCGCAGATCATAAGGATGACCTAGGTGGTAAAGGAGTAGGTGAGCAGGAGGATCATGTATTTGTTTTGAAAGCAGCTTGCTGCTGACAATGTTCATGTGTGAGAGTGATAATTAGTGTGGGTGAGCCGAAACAGGTAAAAAAAAAAAAAAAGAAAAAAAGTCAACAGCTCTTTTCTGCCTTCTTTGTTTTTTCATTGAAGTAGTTGCATCCACAATGAGAATGACTCTACAAGGTATTCCCAGATCAAATGCACTGTTGAGTACCAGCTGACTCTGAGAATCATTTGTGAACTGGAATAAGTAACCAGAAGAAAAAACTTTTTAAACAGAGATCTGAGCAGAGAACACTTGATAGGTCCATAGCATGTCAATTGAGGGTTTTTTGTTGCGGTCATTTGTCAAAAGCTACTCTGCCACTTAAAAATTTTTTTATTAGGATGTATTCGTAGTATATGGGGGGGGGTTCATTGCAACAATTCCAAATAGGCTTAATTTGTACACTAGTTAGATCACTCCCACAGTCTCTCCCCCTTGATCCCCTCCCCACATCACTTAAAATTATTGCGAGAGGTTTCTTTGTTCTATCTCGCATAAGTATATGAAGTCTATCAACCATATTCCCTTACCTTAATCTCCTTCATTCACTATCTCCCCTCCACAAGCATCCCCCCCAACACTGTACCTATTTTACAGTTCATTCTTTCATTATTAATATCTAAGTTGATGTTCAATTAAAGGTTTTTAGAGATTGAGTACAGTAAGAAAATACTTGAAAGAAAACTCTGCTAGCATCTTGCTGTGATGGAGTTGCTAGTTTCAACCCTGAGGCACCTTATAGCTGAATCTCATTATAACCCAGTTCTGCTGCTGCATGTCTTAGAACCTTTGCTCACAAGGAGGTTTATATTGTGCAGCATCTCCTTCTGCTCATCTCTCTTTGCCCTAGATGGAAATTCTTCTGTCAAACTCCAATGGCCAAGGTCCAGCTGCCCTCCAAGTCCACTCCTAAGTACTACCACCTCCTTTAAGATACAGCCACCCTCCTTCCTTAGTCTTCCTGCGGGAGTCTCTCCTCTGGGTGCTCATGGTACAAAGAGCTATCTATTCCCTTTATGATTACTGATAACCTGACCTACTTCCTGTACCACTCAACCAACTCCTGAGAGAAGCCTTTTTGATCTCTACACCAGAACCTAGCAAAGTACCTGGCCATTGGTAGGTCATTAAGTACTTGTGGGTAAATAAAATAGTAAAGGGAGGCTCAGTAGCCATATGTGAGTGTTGCTTTTTCATGTTTACTAGCAAAAGTTAATGTATATGTAGTTTACAAAGCAGCTTATATTTTGGAAAACTCATGCTTGTACAGCTCATACCCTCATATACAGACTTAGAAAGCTTGAGAAGAAAAGATTTCTCAGCTCTAGTAAAATCAGATTTGCTGCCTAAGTAGTGTAATTCAGAAGACTGAGAAATTCCCTTACTTTGGTAAAAGTTTCAAAGCATTAAGTATTTCTGAGAAAACCGAAATTAATGAAAGATGAAAAATTCCACCAAAACTAAAACCAGAGTCTGCTACAACATATTTCAAAGTTTCGTAACTGCCCACTGTGCTACAAAGTCAAAAGTTAAGACTAGGTCTTCAGTTTGAGGCTTCAGTAAGCAAACTTTATTCTATAAACTTGGAAACGTCAACATATTCTTTTCACTTCTGAAACACATTTATACAAGGCTGAGCTTATTTTGCAAAAAGAAAAACTGTTAACAAATTTATGTAAATAACAATTTGATCATTAAAAAAGCTTCTTGTAAAAAGCATCATTCTGACAATAACATGTATGAATGAATGATTTTTGTTTGTTTTTGGGTACTGGGGATTGAATTTAGGACCTTGGTGTTCTACCACTTGAGATACTCCTGCAATCTTGAATGAATGATTTTTGATGCCGCTTGGAACTATCACAGCTACCCCAATGTTGCATACACTGAGCTAAGTACTTCATACGCATTATTTTATTTTATTCTTACATTCTCACAAAAACCCTGAGGTGGGAGGTATAAACCTAAACCCAACCTAAGATGTGGTTCACTGCAGGGCCTGAATGAAGCACCTAACAGAGATCATATGACTACCCAGCTGAGAGCCAGAATTTGAACTCATGTATTGGCTGACTTGCGCTTTTCTCTACATGTCCCATTTGTATACAAAAATCTTTCTAGATATAGCATTACTAAAAGGAATAAGAGAGATCAAAGGGAATGATGTATTTGCTTTTTGGAGAGTATTTTGTCTAACCCAAATGATCTTTATATTATTCTCCTTATAAATATGACAGCTGCCTGAACCACTTTAGAAATGTCCTTGTACTATTTTCTGTTTTTTATTGTTGTTGCAGTACTGGGGTCTGAATTCAGGGCCTTTAACCTTGAGCCACTCCACCAGCCCTTTTTTGTGATGGGCTTTTTTGAGATAGGGTCTCACGAACTATTTGCCTGGGATGGCTTTGAACCACAATCCTCCTGATCTCTGCCTCCTGAGTAGCTAGGATTACGCTGTGAGCCACTGGAACCCAGCTAGTACTATTTTCTCACTAAGTTTCACCAATGAATACAGACGGAAACAGTAACTGGCACATCTTCATACAAAGACCTTACCAGAAAACTCATGAGCGTTAACTCACTAAGTAAAGGAAGTAAATGGGCAGATGTGGTGTCAGTGTAGAACAGAGGATGTTGTTCAAAATATATCAGCTCACAGAAATCCACATATAAAAGCAAAGTATTCTTAATATCCAAAGTATTTAATTTCATTTAATTCAGAAATTCAAAAGACCAAAACCACTCCAGGCAGGAAATTCATGGTGTAAATGATCTAATAATAGGTAAAATACAGGACATGATGGTGATACCTATAATCTTAGCTACTTGGGAAGAAGGAGGATCCTGAGTTTGAGGCCAAATGGGAAAAATTACTAAGACCTTATCTTAAACACAAAAAGGCTGGGGTGCATGGCTCAAGTGGTAGAGTGCTTGCCCAGCATATGCAAAGCCCTGGGTTCAATCCCCAGTACTGGGGGAAAAAAAAGTAAAATCCCAATGAGGAGGGCAACAGAAAGGTCTTCTCAGTGACAGGGGCTTAGTCATCTGTAACATGAGCTCCAAAGTGTCAAAATTAGCATTTCTATGGAAGAGATCTTTTCCAAGTAATCAAACAGTTGTCCTGTTTTCAACTACTGGCTTATATAAAACACTGAAGATGAAAAACAGTATTTTTTTTTATTCATTTATCTCTGGGAAGTCATTACATTACTATATATAGCCACCAAATGAAGAAGAATTTAAAAAAAGAGAAATAAGAAAACCAATGAAGTGTAGAGGCTCTGTGTGGGCTAATAATAATCACTTCAACATTCTACTTACTTGCACTGAGCGTGATAATACTTTATAAGATTCTGCAGCAGATCCACACCCTTTTTGGTCTTGATTTCATTAACTTTAATCAGATACTGTGGAAATAAAGCAGAATTTTATGTTGACGATTCCAGACAGGCCTCCTGAATCATGCGTTCAGGCAGCAGAACACCACTCATGAACCTGCACGAGTTAGCGAGCTGCAGTGGTCTTTAGATAAGGTGAGCTTAATTTAGAGAAGCTGCTCTGGCACAGTCACAGTGTGCACAACAAATGGCTTAGAACATTAGCACCTTATGAATTCTTACAATTAGTTTACTAAACAAGCAGAAACAAGACACAGCAAAACATTCTACGACAGGTGATTATGTCCCCTCAGGACAGTGGATCTCAAACTTGTAAGTTCTTGTGGCACTGAAAGATGGATTGCTCCTTGCTGAAAAAAGTAGAACAGATTCTCTTCAAGAAATGTACCACAGATATTGAAACTTTTACACCAAGTAGGTGAGTCAGAAAGTATTTTTGCCACTCAAAAATAACCCATGAATTAATTAATGTAGTTAATTAAACAGTGCTGGCTTTGCTTTTCATCACTGGCCAAGATTACCTATTAATATTGCTTACTTGTTGATCACTTGTTTTACACTGTATGTTAAAAAGTTATTGAGTACACAAGCTTAAGGAACTAAAAGTGTATGAGGAAAAAACTTTGAGAAAAACATAAACTTGAACAAAATTTCCATTTCAATGCTTTCTGAACTGTGAAGGCATCGCCATGACTGAAAAGCAGCATGAGGATGGGCTAGCACGGGCCTCTAGTCAAGGAGTGCTAGTGTTCAGGGAGGTTCGGTTTGAGACCCACTGCTCTAAGCTTAAGGCAGCATGCTTTTCACTGCATTTTTTTCATGAACTCCAGACTTTCTTAATGGCTACTTCATTTAAACTTCCATTCCAACTGGATCCGTGGTTAAAAAAACACATGCTCTAAACTTGTAACAGTCATCAGTGTTACTTCTCATCAAAAACTTTCCCCTATAATCACTCACAAGCAACATCAAGGTTCTCACCAAAGAATCCTGTTTTGTCTTAAAGAGCCCCAGAAGACCAAGGCTCAAAATCTCAAAATATGAGACAACAGTGCAATGGCGGATCTCAAAAGGCTTGGAGAAAAATGGAGATTAGAATCCTTAGGAAAGAGTCCCCTCCTCTAATAATCAAACACAGCTTTTAGCATAAGGCCTGCTGACCAGCAGGGGCAGATGACAGTCATTACAACTGCAGGCTAAGGATAGAAAGGTTCATCTTACTTCACACATCTGGAGCTGAAAGAGCCGTCTTTCCTTCTCCATTTCTTCTGCAATCTCGGCTCCTGTTATCTCTGTGCGGATCATCCCATGCTGTTTTGCATGCTCTCTTTTCTCCTTTTCAATTTTTGTACTGTAATTAAAGCAGATGTCATTATTTAAAAAAAAAATTCTTGTACAAGAGTGAACCTAATGTACACCCCAGACTGGGTGATGATGTGTCAGTGTGGGTGGCTGTGCCTGTGTAGAGTGGAAACCCGGCATCTTCTGCTCAAAGGTCTTCTGGACTGGAGATCTAGCTCAAGGGTAGAGCCTTGGCTCAGCAATACAAAATAAAAAAAAAAAAAAAGAAAGTCTTTAAAAACAAACCGTACTGAACTAATGTCTTTTCTTTATAAAAACTACTGATTACTTCTAAACTACTAAAGAAGCAAAAATTTTTAAGTTGACAGAATCAATCACTAGTGGAAATCCAAATTCAAAGAGAATAAATACATTGTGTCCACTTTCATCTAGGGGACTTCTCACATTTTTACTTTCATCTTATACATGATGGAGCCATAAAAATTCTCTTATATTTTGGTTGGTAGGAGGAGATTCTGATAGATTTTTTTTTTGAGCATTCTATAATGAAGCAGAAAGTTGGAGAACAGTGTTTTCTTGATAACTAGTGGATTATGAGACTTAGAATTATTTCAAGATAATCAAAGTAATAATGAGTCTTTGTTTAATGTTTAATTTGGAATCCTATGGAATTGTTCTTCAGAGAAAAGGGAGGTTCAAGAGGGAACCAGGGAAAAAGAAGGCAGGCCCCATTAAACCTACGATACCTGATAGAAGATACCCCAGTGATCATACAAATGATCACAGTCCTCTTTCCCCAAATTCACATAATTAGGAAGTGGACTTTAATTTCGGAAGTGGCCTTTACTTTTCAATTGTGAATGTAAAGATTAATTGATTTAACCTTCCTTTTCTTTAAGTTGTAGTGGTAGTAGTATGGGGAGCCAAATATCACAGGAAGCCAATATCCTTGTCTATATAAAAACAGAAGAAAAAAAAATCAACCTATCAACCAATGGAAAACCTACAGCACACCTGGTGGGATTCATTCTGATTTGTCAATGCTATGTTTAAGCAACTCCTTTTTTCTTTTTGGGCAGTACTGGGGTTTGAACTCAGGGCCTTCACCTTGAGCCATTCCACCAGCCCTTTTTATTTTTGTAATGGGTAATTTTGAAATAGGGTCTCGCAAACTATTTGCCTGGGCTGGCTTCAAATCGCTATCCTCCTGATCTCTGCATCCTTAGTAGCTAGGATTTCAGGCATGAGCCACTAGTGCCCAGCTTAAGCAACTTTTTTGAACATGCCACCTTGGTAATCAAAGAGGTGTGATGACAGGGATTTTAGCAGAAAGGGAATACATCCCAGCTCCTTCTCCACTAAAATGTGTGGGGAGAGAAGTGGGAAGCTTGAGAAGAAATATGGGGTAGGCAGGACTTAAAAGATACCAACCTTCTGGTTCACACTATGGGTGACTCAACCACCATAAGTACCTGTTTCTTTTTTCCTCTATAGATCTCATTAACATGATAGTAAAGGCATAAAAAAAGTGTAAGCCCTTAAAGGCAAGAAGAATTGATGACAAAAAAGGATGAGAGATTTCAACTAATAATAACTAGGAAGGGGATGAAGGGAATTTAAGCCCCTGAGATCTCAGACACTGACATTTGGCATAGTCCTAATAAGAGCTGTCCTGGCATCCTAAAACTTAAAACCCAAAAAGAAGACAAGCTACTTTCTCGAAAATTCCTGCTGATAGGGGTGAGCTTTCAACCAGGCTTGCTCTCAAATATGAATGAACAGCCAAGGGTTGTAAGACAATTGAAAATAGTCTATAAAATCAAAGTATAAATGAGCAAAATATCAAGAGGGGGACGTGAGTAGGAACTACAAGTCATAAAGAAGCTGATAAAAGTTTTACAAAATGTCAGATTCTCAGCTAAAACAAGTAACACCCTAAAATCTGATTGAGCAAAAGAGCTCTTAGAAATTTAAAATAGGATAGCCAAAATAAAAAAGCAAACTGAAACAGTAGGGAAAATCACATTGAGAACAATCTCAAAAAGACAAAAGGGACAGAAAAGAGAAGAAAAAAATGTAAGAACACTCTTGAATGTCCAATATTATAAGACGAGGCATTCTAGAGAGAGCACAAAAATAGGAGAAATTAGAAGAAACATTTCCAGACTAAAGAACTAACACTGTACCTGAATGCACATGCCACAGTTCATAAAGACTCTTTGTAAAACCTTTTATAGAGAAGACATTAACATTTCCCAAATGAATATAAATAAAATAAGAAACAAAAACAACTATAGTTCACATGCAAGTAAATAGGAATTAAAAAGGCATCAGTTTCTATCTTTCTTTCTTTCTTTAAAATTAACAACATTGGAGATTAAAAACAAGGAAAAAAATACCTTAAATTTTTTTGAGGCTCCCTATGTAGCCCAGGATGGCCTTGAACTCAATATTCTCCTGCCTCAGCTTCCAAACTACTGGGATACCAGAGTGAGCAAGAGGCACCATGCCTGGCTCACCTTCAACATTTTCTGAGGTTATAAAATTAGACAATTCTGTGTGATAACTGAAGGGAGTTATTTTGAATAAGTAAAATCCTGAAAGTGTGACCTCCTTCTTTAGAATTGTTTGGTATAAACTACTGCATGTGGTAGTACCACAACACATGGGACTACACCAGGAATGAAGTAGATTTAAGACTAAAGAGAATCAAAGGGCAGTCCTATATGACAGCTTACAGCAGATCTGAAGAGATTTGGATAAAGATATCTCCAAGAAAGAAAAGAAGGAACTGACAGATAACTTAATGATTATATCAATAAGTGCAATGTATTCTCTAAACACAAATAGTACTGACAGGTGTCTGACATCTACTGGGTAGATGATAAAAATTTTCAAAAGAGCCATATAGAACTAAGCAGATGAAATGAGGCAATTATGTTATTAAGAAAATAAGTAACTGTAATATAAGAGTGGAAATTCAATCACAAGACGCCATTTAGATACTCATAAAAATGTAAACACTGACAAATATTTTAAACAAAACTTAACCAAACTGAATTACCAGGGTTAGGAAAGTGATGGGTGGCTGTAAAAGGAAGCCAAACCACCATATTACCATAGCAGCACCTCATAGATGAAAAAGAAAAAAGGCATGCTCTTCACCTACTTAACATCCCAGCCCTTCATCATTTGTACAGAGCCCTGTGCCATAGGTGCAGCACAAGCTCCCTGAACCTGGATTCTAGAGGACAGTGGAGACCAGTGGGAGGTGCTCTGCAGAAATTTGGTCCTTCCTACAATGCCTTCCATTCTATGATAAACTTCTGCAACCATTGTGAAACCACTGTTAGCTGGGGTTTCTACAATATGCTGCAGAGTAAGTCTTGACACAAGTGCTAGCTGATTTTATTTTGTATATGTGTCATTATTTTGATCAAAAGAAAACTTAACAGAAAATATTTATTGAGTGACTACTCTTTGACAACTGTTCTTTTTTTTTGGCAGTTTATTTTATTTTATTTTTTTATTTCTTTTATTCATATGTGCATACAATGTTTGGGTCATTTCTCCCTGCTTGACAACTGTTTTAATACATTATCTTTTCTGAATAAAAACCTTTTAATAAATAAAAATATTTTTATTTTATAAATGAGGATCATCAAAGTAACCTGGCCCAATATCACAATACTATTATTCTAAAGGCTTGTGAGCTTCGCTATCACATTTCATAGTCTCCTGAGTTCTAAATGGAAGACAAAAGAAAATGTCTAGCCTTATTATTTCGAAGGTAATAAATAAGATTTTTTTGTGTTTAAATTTTCTATGGTTTATAGACAAATGAGTCCTATTACATGAAAAAAGACAAATTTTTGTTTTCTCCTTCCCCTCCCCACCCCGCCGCCCCAGCACCACTCTACCTTCTTAAGAAAGAAATCTATCTCAGGAAAGTAATTTGTTCATTAGAATTGATGAGGGATAGAAGGAAAGCAAAAACCATAACTTTCCCCCATAAAGTACTAAAACCATGACCTACCTACTATTTCTGAGTATTTCATGAGTTTTCATCACCCACTTCTCACTCAGAAAGGCACAATAGCCCAGAACACTCATTCACACTGGTGGACCATTTTAGGAGCGTTTTAGTTCTCAGCTGCATTTATAACTATCCATGCACAAAACCATTCCTAAAATGGCAAACCCCCAACAATGCACTTATTACATAAACAATCATGAAAGCACTTTGGGGAAAATATGCTTAATACTGATTTTGTTCTTCTTTGGCTTCTGCTTTCATTCTGGGGCTGTTGTAGCCTATGGAAATGTCTTTATTCTCTTATGTTTATATTATCCAAGTTTATAGCCAAGACTTTTATTAAAATTAAAATTTAAAATATGTCTCCTACCCTACCCTACTGCCTGGTATTACAAATTTCTCAGAGTAGTAATAATAAAGGACCATGGTATGAAATGTACAGCATGAAGATGAACCAGGCCTCAGGCAAAGGGTTTCTCTCCCTAATGCCTCACAAGACTCCCAGGGTCAGGTGGTCTGAGCCAGTACCCATGTCACACTATTCAGGATCTGGGTCAGACAGACGAGGAGTGAATATGAGATTTGTCATATACGAGCTTTATGAAAGCTGCACACTGATAGGTTGCTGTCAGGAGATCATGCACATAAAACACATTTCAGTGCAGGTCCTGGCAGACAGAAGAATGTCACAAACATTACAGCTATTACTCTTATTGTTTCCCAGTGTTATTCTACACAGAAAGATAAATGGTCCGTAGTAACATGCAAGCCGTAATGAAAGAAATGCTGTAATGGTCATAGGCCTATGGTTGCACGGTTAATACTAGCAACCATAAATGCTGAAACCATTGATAGTAAAAGTGTCTGTCACTCTAGACAACCAGCCCAGGGGACTTATGCAACCACTTTCAAGTAGCTCAGGCACACACCATCTCAGCTCTTACAAGAATACACTAAACAGCGTTTTGTTAAAGATCGTCGTTAAGAGCTGTGTCCTTTACCAAGTTACTTCTTCTTTTGAAACTCATGGAGAAACAAGTGGAAAATAAACGAAACACTTACAACTTTGTCTCATAGTCTTTCCAAGCTTTGTCAAAGGGCTTCTTGAGATCCTTAGAAAACAGAAAATGAAATTGCATTTATTCTTGCTTAAGTGAATCATTTTGAAATAACACCTTAGCCAGAATGATGTCCTTGATTAACTTATTTGAAGCTTTACCCAAGATGCTTTGGTGCACATTGTACTCTGTATTACACACACAGCATGAGAGAGATAGGATCGGTAGGTGCTCCTAGTCCTGCCAATGAAGCAGGACTTAAGAGGTTCTGAGAGGCAGGTCCAAGGAGGTTACACTGGGGGAGACAAGGTGTAGACCCAGCTTTTCTCTCTCTCCTACCCCACAATGCTCTCCCTAATCTTCCTCACAGAGTCCCATCTTGTTCCTCTGTCAATACCATCATGTGAAGTGGCACATCATTTCCAATTATCATCTTCCAAGAACACCTGTTTAGGCTGAAAATGCTCAGAGTGCCTTTCAAATACAAGTACTACTATGATCGGAGAAGAGGAAAAGAAAATCAATCCTTTCAAGTTAAGAGTGAAAAAATCAAAATTTCTGAACACTTACTCCTTTGACTCCCTTCAGGTCTCCTTTTAACAAGGAATCCAAGGTGAAGATCACATTGTGGCTTAGACCCTGGAGCTGAAAAGCAAAACAAAGATGGGGGACAGTTAAAAAACAAAGTGCACACTGAACAAGACAACCATCCCCTGTTGACTGAGCATTTCCCAATGCACAGGCTCCACAGGAGGGGCTGTATGTACAGCCAGTGAACTTGCATGACACACTCCTGGCTGGCAGCACAACTGTCCCCACCCTGTAGCAGAAGAAATAGGGACAGAGCAGAGCAGAGCAGAGCAGAGCAGAGAGCAGCTGCATGGCTGTGCAGCCCATGTTCTGAAACACTGTATATGTGATGGGGACAAACAATTCCTCTATTCATTTCAGCACTTTCATGCCAGTTGTACCAAAATTGTAGCTCTTTTTGTGACGTTTCTTTAGCTGCCTCTGCCAGAATAAGGAGGGGACAATACAACTGGCTTTCAACATGTCCTTTTTGTACTCTTTTACATGTACCTGTGTCTGAAATTACCTGTGTGTCCTGTTTCCTGCACTGGAACATATGCTCAGTAAGAGCGGGGACTTTGACTGCTCTTCTCACACCTGCAGCCTCAATGCCTGATTCCATTACAAAGACATCTTCATTTATTTATAAATATAGCATATATAATATATTTTTATTTTATATATTATATTTATTTTACATATTTGTTTAAATATTTATTGTACATATTTCATATATTCATTTTATTTATATATTTATACATATTTAAATATATATATGTATTCATTTATTTTTTGAGACAGGTTCTCGCCATGTAGCCCAGGCTGGCCTTTAACTCATAATTCTTCTGCCTCACCTTCCTGAGAGTGGGGATTACAGGTGTGTCCCACCATATCTGGCTAAGACAGCTAGAGTCGCTTTTTTTCACTGTTCTGGGTCTTAAGATGTACAGAGGAGTTCAAAAGGAGGGGATGGAGGTATTCCACGGCTGAAGAGAAGGGCAGCTGAGGAACCAAAGGAAGCATGGTCAAGTGTGAAAAGAACAAGCAATTGTGGACTGAGAAGAATTTAAAATATGGTCAGTCTTCAACGAGATTTTTCTTGATGAAATCAGTTTTGGTGGTACAGCCAAGATTGGAGGAATCTACAGAGCCAGAATAAAGATGGACAGTCTTGTGGATCTCCTCATTCAAGAAATGATTTTACTCACATGTAAGTATGTTTATCTGTTACTCTGTTCACCTGCCCTTCAATCATTCACTGTGCCACATACTATGCTGGGAGCTAGACAGACAGACAAGTACGACAACTTCCTGTTTTTAGGTGGTTCACACTCTAGGCACAGGCAGTGGGCACATGGCGGACAATCCTAGATGATGCTATGACACAGGTGAAAGGTGGAAGGAGAGTGTGGCATGAGAACATCCATCGCTTTGTGCCGGATGGCTTTATGCTGACCTCAACCACCTTTATGGGGGTGTTAAATCCTATTGAGAGCAGCTGTTGTGAAGGCCGAATGAGTTAATGTATGTAGCCAGTGCTAGTTTACTTGCTGATATCTAGGAAGTGTTTCTTCTTAAAATGCCATGGAATGCTAAATAATAGGAAGGCAATGAAGGGATGGAGGAGGGGCAGGAAAGAGGGAGACCTTAGCTTTGGCTCTTAACTTTTCCTTTGTGCTTTCCTGTTGTTCTCATCCTAGGCTTTCTGTAGCACATAAATCATTCTACCTCTTTGCCCTCCCTGAGCCCCACCTAATTTTAAGCACAAAGGTTTTTCTAGTGCATATCAACAGGCAGATAGGTCACAAACAACTTTCTTAGTTCAAAGACAGATATTCCTACCAAGACAAATGTATACATGTGACTTTGCCATCACCCACAGAGGCAGGCTGGCTGACAGGACAGAGCACTATAAAATGAATCTGTTCTGTGAGCGACTAGGATATTGGTTTATTGGAAGTGGGGTTAATATACCAGTTAGATTTTATGATTGTCTGTGACCCTCCAAATGGCCAGAGTATATAAAGTAATTCAGATTTTATCTACAAATTATTTTTTTGAACTTAGTTGCTTGCTAGGCAGGCAATCTACCCAATTAGCCATACCCCAGTCTTTTCTCCTTTGGTTATTTTGAGACAGGGCCTCATGTTTTTGCTATACTTCCTGTGTAGCTGGTACAACGGGTGTGTGCCCCTACACACTGCTTTTTTGTTGATTTTTGCCGAGACTGGTCTTGAACCTTAAACCTACCAATCTCTGCCTCCTGAGCAGCTGGGATTACAGACATGAGCTACCACTACTGGTCTATACCTATGAAAATTTCATGGGAGTGGGGCAGTGAGAGGGAAAATATCCAAAAAAGTGTGTCTTGGGGAAAAAGAGGAAGGCTGCAGATAATAATAGGCGAAAAAGCTGAAAAATGTGGGCCCTGGGTATGAGAAGGAAGACACAAAGATTAGCAGGATTCCCCCTCTGTCCTAGATGGATAGCTAGAACAGTACTTTGCATTCAGATCCTGTCTCATGGATCTTAGGTATTTGTATGGATGGAGGGTAAGTGATGTTGGGGCCCAAGCGCCCTCCACTAATCAAGCCACTGTCTATCCTTCCTCTGTCCATGAAGACTCTCACATTATTTTCTTTGATGCATGCACCATTCCTTACCATCCATGCATGCGCTTGCTTCCTCTCGTTTTTGCCATCACCTCCCCACAAGTTCATGGAGAATGGGACTGTGTGTCCACTGATCTGTTCTAGAACTCAGACACTGCCTAGCGCAGGGGGGGTGCTAAGGAAGGACTCGGAGAAGAAATGGAATACAGCCCCATGTGGACAGCAGGTTCTACTCTCAAGGCTGTTCGTGCTGGGTGGAATGTGAAGTTCCTATCAGTAGGGGCTGGCTAAAAACATTATAGAACTTCTAAACAATAACCATGAAAGTGAGAAAGCTCTTTATAACTATTTTTGAAGGTATCTCCAAGGTAAATTTTGATGTGCTAAAAGCAGGGTATAAAACACTAATTATAGTGTACAAGGATTTATATAAAAAAGGGGGGGGGTGAAGGCCTCTGTTTAACTTCTAAAAGAATACTCAAATCTACTGATACCAGTTCCCCCCAGGGTTGGAAACTGGGCAAAAGGATTGGATGGGACAGGAGACTTTTTCAATTAAAAACACTGTTAACATGTAATGTATTGTTTATTCAAAAAGGTCAAAACATTTGCATCAAAACATGAAAAGATGGTGATTACAAGTGCTTTTAAACTTTTAGTCCTAAATTATTATTTTCATCAATGCTTTAAATCCTCTGTGAAATGCAGACAAAAAAACTGTTATTACTACCTTGATCTGAAGCGCTTTCTTACAAAACGACAAAGGAATTATGAAACTTCACATTCATGTTGAATTTGAGGGTTGTTCTGAAGGAAAAGTCCCCCCAAAGCCATGTACTGACCACACACAGTAACCTTTTAATGTCATCACTGCTGTTAGGCAAGGGTTGGGGGAGGTGGCTGTAGCTGCAGTGATGTAAGAATTGAGGATTTCTTTGTGGTCTTCTACATACATATTGTTAGGGACTGATAAGAAGCCAAAAAGGCAAAACGTTATGTATTAGGAATTTGGAATTTGCTCAGTGATAAGCCTATGGAAAGGCTACAGGAAAAGCATTTAAAATTTAAAAACTCCTTCCAACTTACTTCCAGGAGAAAGTTAGTTTTTGAAAATTGAAAAAAGCAGGTGGTCTTGAATGAGGAGTGAGTGCCATTACAGAGATACAAGAAAAGGTCAAAGAGAGCAGGCAGATCTCAAGAAGAGGAAACCTTTAGGAAACTCTCACTGAGGGACGAAAATGAAATTTCCTTTCTTAGGAATCTCAAAAAAGAGAAAATCTACTCCTTCAAATATTTCAGGGTGTTGTTCTGTGACAGAGATGGATTACATGACTTCACAGTCACAATATTCTATAATTTTAGCTAGGTGCCAGTGGCTCACACCCGTAATCCTGCAAATTTGGGAAGCTGAGATGGGTAGGATCACAGTTCGAGGCCAGCCTAGACAAACAGTTCATGAGAACTTCCCCCCACCCTTCCAAAATAACCAGAGCAAAATGGACTGGAGGTGTGGCCCAAGAAGTAGAGCACCTGAAGCCCTGAGTTCAAACCCCAGCCCCATCAAAAAAAAAAAAAGAAAGAAAGAAAGAAAAAGATTCTGCAAGTTTCCTGTGTTTTTATTTTCTGGTTCTTTTAGGAATCCCTTTTAGAGTCTGAGCTGAAGTTTTGCTACCTGATGTTTAATGGTTGCCTCTGCAGGCAAGTACAATGTAGTCAGCATAATGCTACATTAATATGGGTGGACAAACTTTCTGTTATCACCTTCATCAAATGCAATGAGTTTTTTTAAAAGCTTTTCAAATCTATGGGATTATTTCCCACTTGCTCTACTAAAGTTCTACTGATTATTCTGTATCCATTTACTCAGCTTGCAAATGATAAAGTTGCAAGATAAAGTTGAATTAAGTTCTTTGACAAGTCAAGTCTGTAAGAAGCTGAAGAGTAATGTTTTAAAAAACACATCTTTTTCCATTTCATTAAACACACTAAAAACCATTTCACGAATGTTGTTCAGTATGGTAAATATACTGCTTTCCAAGTAAGTTGCTGTTTAATTTCTCTGCCAGTACACAGATCAAACCCAACCAGAAATTTGTAATAAATCAGACAGATGGAGACTGAAGTGTACCCTTTTATTATACAAAAGAGACTTGTTAGGCCAGGTGAGGTAGCTCATGCCGTAACCCTAGTTTTCTACTCAGGAGGCAGAGATCAGGAGGATTGTGGTTCTAAGCCAACCCAGACAAATAGTTTGCGAGACTCGGTCTCGGAAAAACCCCATCACAAAAAAGGGCTGGTGGAGTGGCTCAAGGTATAGGCCCTGAGTTCAAGCCCCAATATCACACACACACAAAAAAAAGCGGGGGTGGGGGGGGTGGGGGGAAGGGAAGGACACTTGTTTAAGCAAATAACTGAAATTAATATTAGCTTTGATAAAAATACCCATTTGTATCTTCCAATTGC